TAGGCGGGTCTCAAACCCACGGGCTCAGGCAATCCACTCACCTCAGCCTCCCAAAGGCGCGGGATTACAGGCTGAGCCACCGAGCCCAGCTCTCTGGCCTTTTCAATGCTGCCTTTTCAGCTCTTTGATGTCTCAGGGCCTTTGCATGCCCTAGTCCAGCTGCTCAAAGCACTCTTAACCCAGCTTACCCTGCTTGCTGTTTCTCAGCCTTCAGTTAAACTCTCAATTCAAAGGGACCTCCTCTGAGAGGCCTTCCATAACTATCTCACTTCAGCCTTCCCCCAGAAACCATTCTATCACGTTCCTAGCAGTTTATTCTGTAACTATATTATTTGTTTACCCACACTAGATAAAAGTCTGCCTTGTTCACTGCTATATCCCAGCACCTAGAACTATAACTGGCCTATTCTAAGGACTCATAAAATGTTTGAATAAATTAACAAATGAATAAACATGGATTAGAAGAGGAGGAGGCATTCATGGAAGAGAAAAGGATCTAAAGATCAGGCAGCCTGAAGTGAGTGCCAATGTCGGGAAGTATAAACTCAACTTGTCTATTTCTTAGCATGGTGCTAAGCACACAGTAAATACTCAGTAAATATTCTTCAAATGAACTAAATGATGAGTTGCTGAGATGGGGCAGAAAGGGCCACTGGTAAAAGGTCTGGAATGCTACAGCAAAACTCCTGAATAGGACAAGATGGGAGTACCTTAAGAATAAGGATTATTGACAGGCACGGTATCTCAGGCCTGTAATCTCAGCACTTTGGGAGGCATAGGCAAGAGGACTGCCTGAGCCCAGGGGTTCGAGATCAGCCTGGGCAACTTGGAGAGACATTATCTCTACAATAAATCAAAAATTCAGGCGGGCGTGGTGGCATGTACCTGTAGTTCCAGCTATATGGAAGGCTAAGGGAAAGAATTCCCTGAGCCCAGCAGGTCAAGGCTGTGGTGGCCGTGAACTCCAGCCTGGGAGACAGACTCAAAAGAAAAAACTCCAAATAAAAAAATAAAAATAAAAAAAAATAAAAGAATAAGGACTTCTTCCTTCTGGGTTCCCATGAGTCCTTCCTCTCACCTTGAGCTCAATGGCATTGATGAGCTTGCCACACTTGTCACACTGGTCACCCCGGGCCTCCTCATAACGACAGAAGGGACACACGCCCTCCACAAAGCGGTCAGCCAGGAAGCGGGCACAGCGCTCACACCGCAGCTGCTCCACAGTATCTTGGAGCACAAAACCTCGTGCCAAAAGCCTCTGGAAAATGTCCTGGGTGATTCTGATGAGGTAAGCAGGGAGGGGGAGAGACAGAAGAAGTGGTGCACCCCTCCCGCCAGCACCATCCAGGGACTCAATCTCATTCCACCTAAGTGCCAGAGCAATCAGGCAGAAGGCTCCTCAAGGCAAAGGCCATCTGTTCATCTTCTGAGATTTCCTGGAGGAGCCCAGACCCTCAGGCATATTCCAACTGCACACACAGTCTTTTCCCTCAATGCTTTAGAATGTACTTTTCAGCCGGGATCGGTGGCTCAGCCTGTAATCCCGCACCTTGGGAGGCTGAGGTGAGTGGATTACCTGAACCCGCGGGTTCAAGACCCGCCTGGGCAACTTGGTGAGACCTCATCTCTGCAAAAAATCAAAAAATTAGCCGGGTGTGACAGAGCGTGCCTGTAGTTCCAGCTCCTTGGAAGGCTGAGGCAGAAGGATTGCCGGAGCCCAGCAGGTCGAGGCTGCGGTGGCCGGGAGCGGCCACTACACTCCAATCTGGGCGACAGAGTGAGACTCTAACTCAAAAAAAACAAAAAAAAGAATGTACTTTTCTTGGCCAGGCGTGGTAGCTCACAACTGTAATCCCAGCACTTTGGGAGGTCAAGGTGGGAGGATTGCTTGAGCCCAGGAGTTTGTCAAGACCAGCCTGGGCAACATAGCAAGACCTCATCTCTGTAAAAAATTAGCCAGGTGTGGTAGTATGCACCTGTTGTCCCAGGTACTGAGGGAGGAGGCTGTGGCAGAAGGATCTCCTGAGCCCAGGAGGTTGAGGTTACAGTGAGTTGTGATTGTGCCACTACAGCCTAGGTAACAGAGAGAGACCCCAACTCAAAAAAAAAAAAACCAAAAAAAAACCTCCAACAGAACAGGACTGTGTCTG